CTATCTACATATATATATATATATATATATATATATATATATATGGGTTTTGTCATACGCTACATCACTTGATGGTGTGTGCTTTTAAAATCCTCAACACTTTTTAACATGTAGATACTTCTGAATTGTAATACAAAACTTTTCAAGTAAGGCTATTTTTTGAATTTAAATAGGTAGAATAGATATTTTTATAAAAAGTAGTGACATTTTATTAATAATTAAAATAATTATTATATCCTGTGGGTGATGTCATATACCATCATGGCATTGTCCACTATTGTTAATACATATTTTTGTTTCTATTTAAAAAATTCTACTTTATTCTTGATTAATTATTTAAAATATCTCTAAACAAAAAGTTACAACACTATACGGTAATGGTATCTAAGTGTCAAAAAATGTTGAGAACTTTAAAGGTATACACCAACAAATGGTGTAGCCTAGTAAAACCCTATATGTATATGAGTTATGTTAGGGTGCTCACGCTATGAAGTAATTTATCATTGTATTCAATAAATTTTGGATATTTATATTTTTATTTTGTACATGAATTATTATTTTTAATAAAAGAAGTTTTGGTCATTATGAAATGTATGACATCATTTAGATGAGATATCACACATATGGAGCACACTAGTGACATTTAATACTCCATGTGTATGATGTCACACCCATATGGATATATTACACCCCTCCTAATGACAAAAAATATTATCACTTAAAAAAACAATATGTACAAAATAAAACTATATAAATGTTCTCATGCAAGAGAAAGCTAGAGGGGAAAGTGGAAATATCCAAAATAATGTCAAAACAAAAATAGAAGTGTTAATATGATTTATTTGACCTCAAATTTGTAAAAAAAAACCTTTAAAAAAGAAAAGCCAAAATAAGTGCTTTTGGTGGGGACCACCTGTTCGATGAAAATTATATTTAGACTTCAAAGAACTCAAATTTGATTAATTTTTCATACCGTTTAACTATCAAAATAAAGAGAAATTTCAATAGTAAAAAGATTCACTCTAATTACGTATTATAACCAGCAAATTTATATAAAGCACAAGCCCATTTAATACATAGATTTTTTTTTTTTGAAAAAGCATTCAATGAGATCATTTATCTTTAGTACAAGGTGGTTACAATTAATCTTGATTATTGGATGTGAGTTTTGATAGCTGCAGTTACTCCATTGACCAAACTCAAACTTCAAAAAAAAATTCAAAGTACTTGTTGACGCATCCAAACTATCAAAATTTACATGAGATGGTTGTAAATAATTGTGATCTTCTTGTATCAAAACTAAGTGGTCTCATTATATACAATCCCTTCTTGTTTGGTAAATAAGATATAGATTTCTTTATTTTGAAAAAAGCCTCTTCCTTTTAAAAAACTACACCACGTAATTATCACTTGGACAATGAATTCCTAAAAACTTACTCATAGTGTTTTTACCGAACTCTTGCTCATGTATGTGTGATTTAAAAAACGGAAAATTTGAATCGGAAATTGCCGATATGAATCGAGATTTTTCAATTATTATGTGATGATACTTGATTAGAATTGGCTTTGGGTATCCTTCTCTTTCTTTGTGTTTTTATTTTTACTTTTTGGTTCGTCGAATCACCGATTTTCACCGTTCATATAACAATCCAAATTAGAACTAGGTGGCCGATGTATCCTACCGATCCGCACCTACATGCATGCAAATATAATGGGCATAAGAAAACAAAGTCTTCTAAGTGAAATTTTTTCAAATATTATTTATTGGAAAATCATCGTATGCATTTGGAAGACGCATTTCTACGCTTGTGTCCCCCACGGCATAAAACTCCTATCTTAAGTTTGGATCCCGGTCCTTAAAAAAAATAAAAAATAAAAAATAAAATAAATGGTCTAGATATTTTTTTTAATTTTTTTTTTGTTTTAGTTTTTAAAATTTATATTTTTACAAATTAATGATCTCCTTGGAGATTAAATATTACTAAAAAAAATTAGGTCTAACATCCATCGGAAAAATGGAATTATAAGAAGGGAGTAATTTGTTTAGGAAATAGTGAAAAAGTCAAAATTTTCTTAATATTTAATAAAATATAAGGGTAATTAGGTACTTTATTGTTCCAATTTGTCTTATTTCTGAGACTCCCGCTCTCGCGAGTTTTTATCTTGTGTTGACCCCTCAATAGGAGAGGGAGAGCTAGGGGTGAGAGGAAATTGTAGAGCGAGAGAGAGAGAGAGAGAGAGAGAGAGAGAGAGAGTGTACTCGACGACCGTAAGAAAGTAGGAAACGTACCTTAACGTGACGTAGGGTACGAACGAAAGGTCGGGACGGGGTAAGGTAAGGTTTAAGGGG